CGCGTGTGGATCTGCAGGTTCTTATTTCTAGTGGGTTTTCTAGTCTGTTTTTCTTTATGGGTCAACAAAACCAACATTAGGCTTCATTGTGCAAAGTGACTATCTAGGCCTTTCATTAACTAATCATTTGATAACTGAGTTCATTTCTAATAGTACAGATTTTTACAACTTTATCGTGTGTCTATTGCATAGATGCATTTATCCTTCCTGACCTGTATTCCATGTACATTCATGTACACGCTTACACCCCCTCCCACAAATCCACACCCCAGCTTTCCTTCCTACTCTATGACTTGTTGACCAATTAATTTTTTTCATGCTCATTTACTTAGCCACATGTATGTTAAGATACATTGTAACATACGTATATCTTAGCTATATAATGTACATCTTAGATATATATGTAATGCGTGTTTGTGTATGTATCTAGATCGCATGAGGCACATATAAAGGGATTTTTTAGCTGTAGTTTTTCTTTTAAAACACAACCATAATCATTTGATTGCCTTTTGCTTTTCTCAGTGCTACAGTGTGAACATCCCCAAGTCACCTGTTGAAAACTTTTGTTTCAAAGATTGCATTGTGTTAGTCAAAGTATATTTGATTGAGTCCATTTCTAATAGTAGAAATTTTTACAATTTTATAATATAATTTGTGTGACCATTCCTGTGTTGACTGAAACAACACTGTAGAGCAAGTCATGGGAATATACATGACAGCAAACATCCTTGTATGTATTGTGTGATTACTTTAATTTCTTCATGATAGATTCCCAGGAGTAGGATTGCTAGGTTAAAGATATAAGGACTTTAAATTTTAACATTTGTTGCTAATTTCTCCCCAAAGGGATATCATAATTCTTACTGAGACCAAAGAAATATGACAGTATCCTTTCGAGAAGATATTACCAATCTCTTAACATTTTAAGTGATATTTCATTAAGCTAGTTGTTACTTCTCTGACTTTTAATAAGTTTGAATATTTTTGTGTAAAGTTGATAACTTTGATCTGCTCTTTCCCCACGACAGATAATTTTCCTGATTTAATTGCTTAATTTGTCTTTTTCTTAATAGGAAATTTTAAACTTTTTCTCTATCTTTTAAAGTATCTGCTCTCTCTTAAGAATTTTTTAAAGAAATGTCATCTTCTAAATGTTGTAGACTGTATTGCTGTCATTTTTCAAATTTCTGCTTACATGGAGTTTATTTTTATATATAAAATATAAGATAAATGTCTAACTTTTTACTAGATGATAATTAGCTTTATTACCATTTAAAACGTTTTAGCCTTTCCTGCTGAATTAAAATTTAACCTGTGGTTTGTATAGTTTTTCGTATGTGCTGAAATCTGAGTTCTGCATTCAGTCTCACCTATGTGACTATTCCTGTGCCAGTGCCATATTGATTTGATTATTGTCTTTTGATTATATTCTGATATCTGGTCAGTATATCTGCCTTTTTTTTTTTTGGTGGTGGTGGTTCTTGGATTTTCTGACTATAACTTTCAGATCTTATCTAAACTAAAAAAACCTTGAGGCTTATGTCTCAAAACAGTTATTCATTAATATTGGGGAAATATTACTAGTGTGAATGAAATGTTTTCTATGATGTTTCCTACTAAACTAGGAAAATTTTTTTGATTTTAAATGTATCATGTCTCTTTAATAAATTTCAGTTTTCTTTTACTAGAATTGCTTGTTTTTTTGGTATTCTATCAGATCATTAGCAAAAATATTTTCCCCTTGCATGCCAATATTTTAGCTATTTTATTTATTTGGCTAGCATACTGTTTGCTGTAATCTTCAAGTCAGAAATTACAAATGGGGTTGGTGGGATTAATTCCTAAATGTACTCATTTTTTGATATATTGAATAATAACATCCATATGGTTAAAATAAAAATTTCCTATAATCGGTCTCCCCCACCCCCACTTGCCTCTAATTTATTTCCTACCCTTTTCTCAAAATAACCATTGTGGTCTCTTCCACAAATCATTAAATTTCAATATAGAAGCACGTACTTGATACAGATGTACATATACACATAAGCATGCATATATATAACCCCCATGTATGTGTATATATGTACATATACACACATATACTCACTGTGTGCATACAATCTTAATTTTATTTGAATTGGTTTGGATGTTTTGCTGTTGAGTGCTTGCTTTTGTTCTTTTTTCCAAAAATGTTTAATTTTCTGTTATTTTCCATAGTTTTAAGGTGGCTGCTGAGTTTTACTTAATGCCTTTTCAGCTTCTGTTGATATAATCATATGCATTTTTCTTCTTAATTCGTTGATATATTGGATTATGTTGAGTCCTAAAAAGTGAGCCACTTGTATTTCTGCAATAAGTTATGCTACAGGACTGGGCACCCCAAGGCCCCCCAAACCCGCCTGATCTCAATAGATTCTGCCATTCACCAGCTGAAGATAAAACAGGCTCTAGTGCATAAGACCCTTAATGGAAAGGAACTTTAATACAATTAGTGTGCAATAAAGAGAAGAGAAGGGAAACAGGAGATAAAATAGTTTCCACACACAACACCCAAAGTTACCCATCCCCTCTTGGGTAGACGCCCAGGCAGACAGGACCACTGAGACCCATAAGCCTGCCACAGTCTAAGGCACTTTCTGGAGGGGACCCATTGGAAAGGGGCCAGGCAAGTCTGGGATGAAAGGAGCAAAATCAAAATAAAGGCAGCGGCTGTTGTTAACCTCTCAAGTGTCTCTCACCCATGTCTGTTTCGAGTGTTTCCTTCTGTGCTTCCAAAGTCCCGGTACAAGTCTGAGGCCAGGAAGCAAGCTCATCTTCTTCACATGGCTCTCCGCCCGGTGTGCCTCTCCTCCAAGTCTCCCCCTCGCTTGTTTTCTTCTTTTTCTTTCTTCTCCTTCCTTCCTTCTCCAGTCTCCTCTCAGCTTCTCGGCTCCACCCTTTCTGGGGTGGGTCAGGGAACCCAGAACATCCCCTTTCCTTGGCGACCACCCTGTTACAGATATATAATAAATTATTTTTTATTCGTGGCTAGCCTCTGTGGTCTAATTCTATTTTTTTTATTTAGAATTTTTATATTTAACTTTTAAGTGAAACTGGTTATGTTTTATGTATTATCTTTGTTGGATTTAGTATTGAGTTGCTGTGACTTCATAAAAGAATTGGAACATTGTATTTTTTTATGGTTTAATACTGTTAGCATTATATTTCTTTAAAGGTTAAGAGTTTGCTGAGAATGAAAACCCAACTGCTCTTGATGTCTTTCTCTCACTAGGTTTTTAATTACGTTTAACTTAGGGTATGTGGTTTTCTAGTCTAGATTATATTTCTCTTGGTTTAGTTTTGATATTTCCTACTTTACTGGAAAGTCATTGTTCTCTTTTAGGCTTGCAAATGAACTGCCGTGAAATTATGTTTGTCTTAGATTTGTTTTCTTAATTCTCTCCCATATTTTTGGTTGTGTTTGTTTTTTGATTCTGAATCATGTTGGTTTTCTCTTTTTTCCACTCTTACTAGATTTTCTGGGTGGTTATTTAATCTTTCAAAGAGGTAGCTTGTGGGCTTGTACTTTCTGTAACTTTTATATTAATTTCAATATATTAATATTGAATTAGTATCTTTGTTCCTTCCCAGTTTATTTTTATATATTTTTTCAAATTTCTTATTGAGTCATCCCATTGTCTTTTAAAAATGTGACGTCTTTAACACGGTAAATTTACTTCTAGCTGTGATTTGAGAGTTTAGGGTGAAGCACATTTTAACTGAATTTGAACAAGAATGGAATGTGTGTATTCACTAATAGTTTTGTGGCTTGGTATTGCTATTTGTCTGGGAACACAACCAGCAACATTTTCAGATTTTCTTTGTACATTATATCTTTTTTTTTTAGGCTAGGTATTTCTTAAGTCAGCAAGAACTACAACAGCAAGTTCATTAAAGCTATAATTTAGGATATGCAAATGTGAAGGGTTTCTAACTTTACCCTGTTCGTTTCACATATATCATTAGTCACTGTTAGACACTTTGGTCTTGCTTAATATAATTCAGTGCTGAGTGTGTATTTGAATGTGAGAGCTTTTGACATCAACATTTTAAACTTTTGTCTAATTTATAATCTTAACTTTGAGTAAATGGAGATCGTTGCCTCTTTAGATTACGGTTTGAAACTGCTAATAAGTTCAGTCAGTAAAACATGATCTTTAGCTCCTAACCCATGAATAATAGATCTCATTTTTTTGTGCAGATCTATGTCTGAATTGAAAGGGGTCAAAGTGTCTGAATGGTGAATAACACAGTCGAATGCTAATCTGAAGACAGAAGTTACTAGACTTATTCCCTTACTAACTCACATTGTACTCAGTAATCTGAAGGCATCATGGATATTCATCTCTTGTTTAAATTGGTAGTCATAGCCCCCACTACTTGATAGTGTATGAAGTGCTTGCTCACCACCATTTTTAAATGTTTTAACTTCTTTAGTAGCTCTTTGAAGTAGTTGTCTGTTATCCCTATTTTAAAGATGTCGAACTGAGACTTAAGATAAGTTGTCACTCAGATTTGGCCAGCAGTAAAATAAACAATATACTTGGAATTAGACACCAGAATTTGCCCCACAGTTAAGACCTTTAGCTACAATCATGCTGCAGTATGTTTTTATTTATAAGATTCTACATGAACAGACTGTACGGCTGTCACCCGAGTATGTCTATTCCAGCGCGTGTTTAAAATCTGTTTGCCTGGGTGGCATCTAATAACAAATTAAACAGCAGGGGTAGGGCTTTTACTCCTTTTTCCAAGTGAGTAATATTGAAAGCTATCAGTAGTTTTTTTTCTACTTTTTTTCATATTCTGCTTCAAACCAGTGTTTTATTTTAAAACTATAAAATAATTTTTAAGCGCATGATGAGCTGGTGTTTACTATGAATATCCTCAAGTTGTATCGGTAAAGGTTTCATTCAACCCTTGATTAACAAGTATTTCTGAATCTTGTCTTTGTTCTACAGAATGTTGAGTAACTCCGAGCATCTCTGGGAAGGCTTTTGATTCACCGCGTGTAAAGTATGCTCAGTTCCTTTCCAGTGGTGTAAGTGTCCAGTTCATCGCTTAAGTTTTATCTTCTCAATTGTAATGAAGTTATAAAATTGTCATGATCCACATTTGACAGCAGGCATTTGTAGAGTTGAGTTTTTCATTGTCATGTGGTAAGGAATGAATTTTCAAATTATCAACTTTTTCTTTACCATTTGTGTTTTCAGTTTTAAAGTCTGGCATTAATTTTCTTTTCTTTTTTTTTTTTAAACAGTATTTTTTTTTAATTAATTAATTTATTTATACAAGCACTGGTTACAGTCAGAAGCGCAGGAGGGTGAGAGAATTCACCAGAGCTGGGAGCAGAGCAGGCAGAAGGGCCAAAGTACACTGCTGAGGGGAGCAGCAGGTGGCAGGAGAGGTCTGCCCACCATGTGGGACCCTCGACTGGCAGCCGGGGATCGAACCGGAACTGCCAGAGCCTGCGGGCAGCTTTGCAACCCAGCGCTCAACCGCTGTGCCACCGGGGAGGCCCGGCATTAATTTTCAATGAAACATAAAACCACTTCTTTTTTTTAAAGATTTATTTATTTACTTATACAAGAACTGGGGTACAGGCCAGAAGTGCGGCAGTGTAAGAGGATTCACCAGAGACAGAGCGGGGAACAGAACAGGCAGATGGACCGAAGACACTGCTGAGGGGAACAGCGGGCAAGACAGGAGAGCCGCACCATGTGGCCAGTGGGGAATCGAACCAGCGCTGCAGAGGCTGCGGACAGCTTCACAGCGTGGTGCTCAACTCGCTGCGCCATTGGGGAGGCCCAGAATTACTTATTATTTTAAGCTGCTTAATAGTCTAGAAACTTGTGCAATACAGGGTTAGCTGTTGAAGAGAGCTAGTGTTAGAGTCCTTGTGACAAACACAACATTGGGCACAAGTTACCTTGATACTGCATTTCGTATGCAAACTCGCAGCACCTGCTCCCTTTCCCTTTACTTACTGGAGATAATGATGTAGGTAAGCCTATTAGCTAATGTAGTTGCTAGCCTCTCTTTGAAGTCAGGCAAAAAATACAAATTGAGATGGTGGTATGATGTTGAAAGATTTTTTGTGCTAGGATATGTATGAACTGTAACCACTAGTTCATATTAAATAGGCCTCTGAATAAAAGTATTCCGGGAATTTCAGATATTAGAGAAGATAAAGTATCTATTAGCTCATTAAGTGCATCTTTAGAGTCTAATGTGGAGTGCCTTTAGCATAAGTATTTTCTAAAATTTGGTACAGACTACATTTTGATTAAATTCCTTCCGCTTTGGTTGACAGTTCTGTAATTCAGTAAGTAGACATTAAGATAGGTTTTCCTTACTATGTTGATTTTTCGTTAAATCTTTTTCTTCTCTCATTGACAATTATGTATCAAAAAGTCTCTGGAACAGACCCAAGAGATGTAAACTATAGCATGAGTTTCTGTAAGTAAATATGTCCTTGGGAAGCAAAACATCACTTTGGGCCTTAGTTTCCTCTTCTTACTATTTGCCACTATCCATTACAATATAAGCCTGATGAGGCCAGGAATTATTTGCCTGATTTGTTCCTTACTGCATCCTTTTTTGTAACTGGCACATGGCTGAATGAGTTATATTTGTCTAGATGATCTCCTATTCACAGATTCCAAATCTAATACGTATTTATAAGCTTACGTGGATTTTTGGATTTTTGGATTTTTTTCCCCAAACATGCATAAGGTGACTCCAATAAAAAAATCTCAATCAGTGATAATTTAAAAATAACTATTAAAGTGTGACTGGCACATTGAAATGTATCCCTAGTTTTCTCAGTATTTTTATTATTAAAGGACATTTTTATAATGTTATCTATAATCATCACCTCCATTCTTATGCTATAGTCAGTTCTTTTGATTTGAATTATAGACGCATTTTACCTTACTGTTGAGCTCAATCTCCAGTAAATCTTCATTTCTTAGTTTCTTGCTCTTTGTCATTTCTTACTTTAAGACTGCCACTTCTTTATGATAATAATAATGTGCCATAAATAGTAAAAGGGTCCTGAGTGCATCTTTCGCTGATGAATATAATTATTGACTCTAGAATGTATTAAATTATGCAGTAAATACCATGTATGCAAAGCAAAACTAATTTATGTCTAGACCATATTTTGCTTAGTCATTCTAGATAAAATAAAGAGCAGAATCAAGCTAAAGTGTTTTTTGTTGTTCTTATCTAGTAAAACCTTACTAACTGTTACTGCTTTACAAGTAAAGTAATAATGCCATTTTGTACATGTGATTTCAAGAATAATCATTTCTCTAAGCTTTAAACCTTTAATACATGTTTGTAGAATTTAGTTTAAGGATGTTTTGGACCTTATGCCTTTATCCAGGAAGGGATTAGGTACACATTCCAAGGAGGGATAGAATTGATTGTGAAATAGGTTTTCTATTATGATCTGATTGATAGTATGGTCTTCTGGAACATCAGTTTATGAACTGAGCCATAATTCCTGAATCTAATTGTTCTTTTATGCTTTAAACATTGTCTGTGTTATTGCACTGTTGAAATTCTTTTCACATCATTTTCAATTATTGTTGGCCTGAGTCTGCATTCAGATTAGTAATTTAAAGTGAAAGATGTTCCTTATCCTGTGCCCAGTCCTTAATTTTCTTATGCTATATAAGAAAATTAATTCAGTTCCTACCTGGTATCTTTTTCTGTTATGAAAGAGCTGTATTATGGACTTAAAATGACCTCTGTAGGTCATTTACTTCTATAATTTCATGATGTTATGCTTAAACTAGGTAAATTATAAGGAATAAAATTTGGAGATGGCAGAATATGTACCTTTGTGTAAGTTAATGCATGTTGCAATATTAGTCTTGATATCCAAGAAAGCCTCTTATCTTGGCATTTCTTATCAAGATATTATACCTTCGATGCCAGGCTATTTTTTGATCCTGCTCATTATGCCCTTATCATTCCACTCTGTAGTGATCCTACGTTCCATTCTCGCAATAGTACATGTTTTTAACTTAAAGTGTATCTTTGCAGTAGGGACTTCTCAGTGTAAGGCACAGACATCTAATTTAAACAAGCCTAAAGGGAATTTTGTTTTTACATCACATACAAGAACAGGATATATTGCAGGGGTTCGGAACTACTGGGACGAGGGATATGAACACTTCAGCGCTTTCTTCTTCACTCTGCATTTTTTGCTGTGTCCTTTATGTTCAACCACAAACTGGTTTCTTCCATATGGTGAGAAATATACCAGACTAGCATCTCCCTGTTGCTGAGCAGTTATAGTAGCTGTTCATTTTCCCCCTGGTCTTACCTGAACATTGTAAGAGAGCAAGACTTTGCCTTCTCGTGTGCACACCCTATTGAACAGAGGTGCAGTGCATTAGGTGCAGCAGCCCCACGAACATGAGCACCATCCATGTGTACTTGGTGACTGTTTACATGTGAGTCATGTAACGGCATAGATCATGGGAGGCAACCAACACTGCATAGCCTTTTAATAACAGTTTGGAAGTGCTAGGCATTCTGGGAAGACCCCATAATAGGGGTCTTCTGTTGCCTCCTTTCATGACTTTTGGAATAAAAGACACGGGAATCTGAAATGACAAAAAGTATCAGATTGTTTCAAATAAGATGGAGTCTTCAATTCTGATAGTTCTGAGTCAAGCTTTGGGATGGGCATTTTTCAGTAACGGGTAAAATTCATATAATTTAGTTCTATGCTGATATTACAGAATGCTGCTCCATGTGGTGAAATTTGAGGAGTTACATACAGATCACTATCTGCTCTGATAAAAACAGAATGGGAAATGTCGTGACTGATTGTGTGTGTGTCTCCATGTAATAAAAACAGTTTTGAACACTCACGTTTAAAGCAAGGTCAATTTATGAAGTATTTGGAGAGCATGAAGACAGGAGCTAGCAATGGAAAGTTCTATTCCATTTTCAAGCAAAAAGAATGATGTGTAGAAACCTCAAATCATAAATTAAGGGGGTAAATTATTTGAATTGCTAAAGGGATTTGGCATCTACTTTAAAAAGAACTTCATAGAACTAAGGATTAATATATGACTGAGCATTTGCTAGAGCAGACAAAGGGCTGAGGGCTAAAACAAACAAAAGTGTTAAACGTCTCCTATAAGCCATTAAGAAAATGCCCACATGGCTTTTTCAACAAACCTTTCCTTTAAGTATAGTATGCCTACTGAGCACCATCCATGTGTACTTGGTGACTGTTTACATGTGAGTCATGTAACGGCATAGATCATGGGAGGCAACCAGCACTGCATAGCCTTTTAATAACAGATCATTTGTGCTGAGAAAGGTATACGTTGTTCTTTTGATTGGTCACCAGAAAAATTCAATGCACTGATCTACTCTGAAAGTTTTCTAGACCAACTAGGTTAGTATTTGGGGGGAGGAGGTTGGGTGCTAACAAGAAAATTAGTACAGTTGTAATAACCAAAGCATTTAGAATAATAGTAGGAGACAGCCCAAGTTTCCAAAATGAAATGCACTGTAGTATAATCCTACAATGAAGTACGACCAGCAATAAAAAAGAACAGACTGCAGGTACAACAACATCATAGCTGAATCTAAAAAATGTTTATACCGAGTGAAAGAAAACTTACACAAAAGAGGACATCGAAATTCCAGTTATATAGGTTTATAGAATATAGAACATGCATCTAGAATACGTCTGTGGTGGGAAAAAATCTGAATAGTTGTTACTTCTGACGACAAGGCATTCTAATTTTATTTCAACTTTATGTTGAAAGTATTTCATTATAAATTGTTGGTGGAAAAAACCTAGGCAATCAGAAAAGGATGTAATAGTCATGAAAACAGGACTTATGGATAACTTGTCACAACTGAATATTGGAAAAAAGCAGAAGCTGAGTAGAGTTGTAAGGTAGATATTATGGCCCATGGGCACAAATCACCAGCAACATGTTATTTTGGACTCATAAGATGTGTGTGCTTATGCGTTTTTATTTTGTGTTTAATTAGTCTCTTTAGGCTTGAGAGATTTCACACAAAAATTCTAGATTTTTTGCTTGCTTATTTTTTAAAGCATGTGAAAAACAAAACTATGGAAAAGAGTAGATAATCCAGTGTGTGTTGAATATTAAGTATGGCCAGGGTGGCATTTCAGATCAGTAGAGAAAGCAATATGACACAATTAAGCATATTGGATAACCAGCTACCATTCAGGAAAAAACAAAATTCATATCCTTTCACACTCATTGAGGTAATAGCAACTCTAAAAGGGCAAGGATTTTAAATATAAAAACTATTCTTAAGACACCCCCCCCCCCCACACACACACACACACACGTAGTCCATCAATAAGAGTGATGTTATCTAAGTGGTTTTAACTGGAGAGTTCAGCATCCCACACAGCCTGTGCCTCCAATCCTATGAGTCTAGCAAAGCCTGATATGTTGAAAAACAGAGCGATGTATGCTTTTGGTATCAGTAAGATCTAGAGTTAAATCTTTTTTATTAATCAGATATTTTGCAAGGTGTAAAGCAACTCTAAGCCTTAGTTTCCTCAACAATCAGTCAATGTAATTTTTCTTTTTAAACCTACCACAGAGAGTTGCTGTAAGGATTAGTTGGTATTACATTATATAAAGTGCTTACCCAATGGCTGCCAAGACACAGATGCTCTGTACATTTTTTAGTGTAGAGGGATGAAGAAGCAATGAGATCGACAGCAGCTTGGGGGGGTGGCCAGGGCAGATGTTTACCTGTGAAGGATGAGAAAATTCCTTGAGGTTTATTTCTGTCAGCAAATACTTACTGAGAACCTACTTCATGTCATGTATCCTATTTAGAGCTGGAACTATAAAAATAGAAATAGAAGAAATTACCACTTAAAAAATCTTAAATAGGAAGCCCAGGTTTTTATGAGAAAAGCATGAAAGTAGATATTTGACAGCCCCCTTAAACTTAATATTGTTATTGATTCTGAGACATTTTCTGGCATTCTACACATGATGTAGAAACAATTTCCTAAGAAAAATGAATAGTTTAGTTTGGCTACAACAGTGAAAGGTCCATTTCTTGGGATCACTGTCATGAGAGAATGCATTACAGAGATGAAATTCTTATGAGATTGCCGAGTGGGGGATGAAATGATGCTTAATAAGGTTTTATGTACCTCTCTTTTCCATTTAGATATTTTACTGATTAGTAGTGTTTGCCTGGTAAAAGTTGGAGTTCCTAGGTCAGTTTTGCCAATATTTAGTGAAACAAGATAATACAAACTATTTTTCAGCAACTTTCCATTCATATTCAAAATGTGGAATAACAAATTTGAGATGGAAAAAGCACTTGTGAATATAATTGCCCAGCCTAGGCTTGAAACTGTATTATTTTGGTTCATAACTGAAATTTTGGTTCAGGTATTTACTGAGGAAAATGTAAACTGTATGCTATATGAAACTGGGCTAATGTCCATCCTAGTTCACTCAGTATCTGTCCCAGCCCATCTGTCATGACTCTGCTCAAGTATGTCATACTCCAGTATGGAGTGATAATAGTTAGCAATATAATTAAAATCATGTCTTAATTTTAGTAAGAAAGTTAATATAGAAATAATGCATCTTCTGCTGAGCATTCGCCACAATGTTATGTTCTTTGTAGAAAGTGTAAATAAAGAACTTTAATTTCTTTTTATTTTTCAGTTTGCTGGAAACCATGTCTCACTATACAGATGAACCCAGATTTACCATAGAGCAGATAGATTTGCTGCAGCGCCTGCGGCGTACTGGAATGACTAAACATGAAATCCTCCATGCCTTGGAAACTTTGGACCGTCTTGATCAAGAGCATAGTGACAAGTTTGGGAGAAGGTCCAGCTATGGAGGAAGTTCCTTCGGAAACAGTACCAACAATGTTCCAGCCTCTTCCTCTACAGCTACAGCTGCCACACAGACCCAGCATTCAGGAATGTCCCCATCGCCTAGCAACAGTTATGACACATCCCCGCAGCCTTGCACTACCAATCAAAATGGGAGGGAGAATAACGAGCGGTTGTCCATATCCAATGGAAAGATGTCACCAACTCGCTACCATGTAAACAGCATGGGTCAGAGGTCATATAGTTTTGAAGCTTCAGAAGAGGACCTAGATGTAGATGATAAAGTGGAGGAATTAATGAGGTTAGTTCCTTTGTTTATTCAAAGTCCCCAGAAATGTCTGTGTTCTCAGGTTGTTTTTGAATAATAAACTATATTTCAGCTACTGTGATTCCCACCCCCTTTTGGTGAGAGAAGAAAAATATTTCACTTTTTTTTCTCTTAAGTCAAATTTCCTTTTCTCTACTTCAGCCCTTTCTTTTTGCTGCTTGATAAGCCTTTTCCATTCTCTGTTTATAAAAGAAAGATTAATTTCCTTTTATGGTTCTAATTGTAAATTCTGAATTGCTAACAGGCACATTCTCATCTTTAAATCTAATGTAAGTACTTTTTCTAAAAGATGATTTTATCATGATAAAGAATATGTACTCTTAATTCTTTCCCTCCAACATAACAAGAAAATTATTTAGAGCACCTATTTTATAAAAAGGCGTATTCTTAGGAAGAAAAATAGACATGGTTTCTACCCCTAAGAAGCTAAAGTTCTACTATTGGCAGTAAGTTTCGTGTGGGGGTGTATAGAGGTTATCTATTACCAGATAAACATAGGCACTTCAAGTTGTAAGTACTGAGAAGTGGAGAGGTTGACTTTCAGCAGGGATAATTAGTAAGGCTTCACACAGGACCTGGCACAGCAAGGGGTTGTTGTGTCTCTAGGCTCTAGAACTCTCCTTAGCACATGACCCAAGCTAAGTATGTTATGTGAATGGATGGGCTTTAGCTAAATCTTAAAGAATAAGCTCTGTTTAAACACAGGACTTTTATTTTAAGTTAAGGGGATGGTAGAAGGTAGATAAGGCAAGGCATGATTAATTTTATAAAAATAACAGATGGACTAGATTGTGGTACTAAGAATACTATATTAGGAGACACGGGTTTTCAAAGATTTGAATTCTGTACAAATCATTCCTATTTCATTTGGTTGAAATTAAGGAAGTTTTACAGGTCTTTAGGAATAAAGATAATAAAAATGTGGTTTCCAGTAGATTATCACTACTGTAGTGTGGAGGAGAGCCTATAGATAAGTTATAGTGGAAAATGAAGTAAGCTATATAGCAGGAATTTGTTAGAAATAAAATTGAAGCCTGTAATTATGATTTACATTTCTTCCTAAAGATGTTAGAACTTGATAGTATAATGGTGACTTAATCTGTCGTCCCACAATGGGGAAATATCTTAAACAAACTGACAAAAAGCATTTAAAGAAAATGCTTTTTTTAAAAAAAAAAAAAAAAAAAAAGATTTATTTATTTATTTATTTATTTATTTATACCAGAACTGGGGTACAGGCCAGCTGCATGGGAGGATGAGAGGATTCTCCAGAGACAGAGTGGGGAACAGAACAGGCAGATTGACAAAATACACTGCTGAGGGGAGCAGCGGGCGAGGCAGGAGAGGTCTGCTGCGCCATGTGGGACCCTCGCTGACCGGCTAGGATGGAACCAGCGCTGCAGAGGCTGCAGACAGCTTCACAGCATGGTGCTCAACTGCCTGGGCCACCAGGGGAGGCCCCAAAATGTTTTTAAATAAATATTTAAAACCTAAAAATCTAAGAGGTTAAATTGGTCTTAAATTAGTTTTTACTTGTTAAAGCAGCTGTGCAAAGTTCAAATGACCATTTTCAGTTATATATCAATAGAGATAGAAAGACATTATATATTTATATAGACATACACACACACACACCCCACCCACCCCCCACAAGATTAGAAGGGAGAACCATTTGGGCAAATGAAAGTTTGCTTTATCTTTGAAATACAACAAGAATAGCTGTTAATTATCCTGAATAGAGGATATCAACAATAAAATTTATTTAGCTATTTATTAAGATACTAGCCTGGTTTTTATTGTTGCTGTTATTAATCAGTTTTAACAAGCTGCTAATATAACAGTTAATTCCCAAATGTGTATTAGGCTAAACAAGAATTTCAGGGCAATTTTCTTTTAAACAAAAAACTTTAGAATATTGGCCAGGGTCTAAAACTTGACTATATGGGTCTAAAAACTAACCTATTAAACTCTAAATTGGCGTAATGCTGCAACTCAGCTGTGTCCTCAAAATAAACAGAAAACTTACTTAGCAACAAGTTGGAGTTGTAGTTATAACATTAAATACATACATCTCTATACATGGTTATCAGTATTTAATTTCCATATTAACACTTGTTGCAAAGTTAGGACACTTCTTCCTTTTCTCTGCTTCGTCCTTAGAACTGCTCCTTCAGTGTCCTCTCATCAGCTAGGGGTCTCTTCGGACCTTTTGACTCTGGGGGCCTCTGCCGTTGTACCCTCATCCACGCCTCCACTTCTTTGTGTCCGCCTCTTATCTTTCTCACATTTGCAGATAATAATAATTCCCAAGTTGGCGGAGAACGTTAAAGCACGACTGTTCTCACTTGTAATCATTTCAGCCATGCTCTGAGATGGAGCAGAGAAATTGAGGATTATAAAAATTAAGTTCTTGACCCAAGCATACTGAAATACTAAGTGGCAGAACCTGAATTTTAATCTGTCTTAATTAGCAGTTTGTGTCTGATATTGGTTATCTCTATAAATAAAATTTCATGTTTGTAAATTTCTAGAAGGTTTTAGGAACAGTGGTGTAAATGCCTCAGTGGGCTTCCTCTGTCCCTCTGTGATGTTTGCACATCAAGTCAATCACTTTACTACCAAATGAATTTTTATTTGGTAGAATGTTAGAGAAATTTTTGAGCAGTGGATCTTTCTAAGTATCCTGTACCCATGTAATTATCACTCTACATTATGGATTGGTATGTATAGTAGATAATTTCCCCTTGCATGCTTACATCCCCAGCCTCCAAAGCATTTAACCTTAAGGCATATTTATCACATTTATAAACCATCGAATTCATAGACTTCTTATAAATTCAAGGTGCTTAAGGGATTTTTCTTAGAACTTGATTAAATTATAACTGCACTTCTGATCTTACAAAGAAAGACTCAGAATGAAAGTAAGTTGCTACTTTTTCCATTTTGGAATTAATCAGGGTGAAAAAAACTGGAAAAAATTAGAATGTAACTTCTTAACAACTGTTCAATATAACATTGTAGGAAGGTTTAAGGCTAAGAGCTAAAACAAGACCCATTTCACATGCTAATACTTTTAAAATGCATGTCTTAATAGGTACTTATAGATGTATATGTATACCTGTTAATGTAATGGTATATAGCTATTAAAAGTGTATCTGTTTTTGTCATGACATTATAAAATATCAGTTGAAGTGAGGCTTACCAGAATTTATAAACAATACCATACATTAAAGATATTATTAACTTCTCATGTGCTAAATTGTATGAGTGTTTTAGTATTTTATACAAGATTATAAAACTTTTGTCCAAGTTGGTTATCGGTAGGCTTAACAATAGGGTATTTACTTGTGTAGGTAGGGTGTTTATGTTCTATAGGTCGTAATATTTAGTTGCTTATACAAATAGAGTAGCTTTTCTCAAGTTATCTTTTACATATCCATGGGTGGAAATTAAAGGGAGCAGGTTTTTATTCAAAAGTGAAAGAATTTCTATGTACAGTATTTTTCTGTCTGTGATGTAATCTGTCTTAGTAGGTATCACTCCATCTCTGGAAATCGTTATGTTAAATGACTATCTATTATGGGCCCAAAGTATGTGTATATCAACTAAGAAAATACGGATGGTCTCGGGTCTCCGTAGTGGCACAGTGGTTAAAGATACAGCGCTATCAAACCATCACCAGCCACTGCAGCATGAGTGATCCCGGCCAGGGAGCTAACCCACGTGGCGCAGCAGACCTCTCCTGTCTTGCCTGCTGCTCCCCTCAGCAGTGTATTTCATTAGATCCACTTGTTCTGCGCCCCACTTTGTCTGGTGAATCCTCTCACTTCCTGCACTGCTAGCCTATATCCCAGTTCTTGTGTGCATAAATAAATAAATCTTTTTTTAAAAAAATATGGATGGTCTCAAAGCATACCATACCACTTTTAAATATGCAGTCTTTAATATCCTTTGTTCCAGAAAATGAAGCATTGTCATTTTGAGCTAGCATAAATAACTCTTTTTCCTTCTGATTTGGGGAGCTTAAACATATTTGCAAATAAGAATTAGAGCTGCTCTATAAATTACCTAGATCAAGTATTTCATTTTATTACCTTTTATCTCCAAGTACAGATTTGTTCATTCATTGAACAAATTAAACTCTATTATATGCAACCCCCATGATGAATAAGACACAATCACTGTGCTAAAGGACTTTACAGGGTAATAAGAGAGATAAGACCAGGTCAGGAACAACTGTAACACAGAATAGCATGTACTTTATTAGCATGTGAGTAGTATAATTGAAATATTAAAGTTAGCTATTAAAAGAAAAGATTGTTTTTAGCTCTGACGATCAGGGAACGTCTCTTAATAGAAAACAATTAAAATATGTCTTTAAAAAGGGTGATTCCACAAAGAAACATCATAGTAATTCAGCCAAATATTAATTAAGAAAAGTCTGTTGAAAATAGTAGAAAGTTTAGGGTGTTATTAAATGAATAGCAATGGAGAGTGAAAACAAAGAATTTTATCCTCCTGTGGAAATCACCCAGGTAAGATGAATCCAGCACGACTGTGATTTGGAAAAGGTAGTAGGAGGAAATGACACTCACTTCAAGCCATTAGATACAAATAGTATGGTAGTTTATCTTGGCAGTAAACTCTGGCATCAAAAAAGATCAGTCTGTACTTCACTTTAATTCCATAAGACTTGAGAAGAAACCATAAGGAGTGTGAGATTTTATTAGAAAAGGGAGGGAAAGAGATTCATTCTCTTTAAAGAGGATATCAAATTTCAGATGTAGAGAGGAAGGAGTAGAAAATGATGAGAAAATTAGATTTGGTGTAATGGAGGAGTCTTCACTTAAGAAACTGGTGATTTCACAGGGCCAGTGTGAGCAGGAGGAGAAGCAGATTGTTACAGGGTGCATGAGGAGAGGATGAGGGGGGAATATGCGAAGTGTAAAGAACAAAATTAACTCACTGGAATGAACTCTTTGAATTATATGAAAGAATTGGACACAGTAGAAGTTGAATGTTGTTACTGTTTTGAAAAAACCTACTAAGTGACATCTCTGCTTGTGCCTAGTTGACTTTACAGAAGTCTTTCCAAGGTGCCGGGAAACATCCAGTAGAGATGTTTGCTGCAGTCTTAGTCACCTCAGATCATTTGTCTCTTTTCCTGCAGTTCCTTCTCGGATTTTATAAAGTAATCGCCACTGTTCATGTAGTGTTGTTGTAGTTTCAAAATTGTTGGCATTGGAAAATTTTTTATTTTACATATGTACACAATCTTAAATTTCATTTAATTTTAATTTCAGTGTTTGGAGAAAAATTTAAAAGTCTTATGATGGGGGTATTAAATTCTCCTCTTAACCTCATGATGAAACCAGCATCCAATTTTATTTTTAAGGACTTGCCCAAATACATCCTGATCTTTCAAGTCTTAGGTTTTTCTTCAATTTGAAAAAGTCTGGTAGATCAGTTGAATGAAGAGGTTTTTATTTTTTAAAAGCTCATTGTCGGTACAGAGAAACAGTACTGAAGGTATCTGAAAATACAGGATATTAGAGGGTAACTAACTTTGGAGGGTGCCTTCTTTCGCACTGAAGTCCTTGATATTATTACACTACAAGGCTGTGAATACTTCACAAACTATATAAGCCCTACTGGGATAATTGAGTATTATCTCCTTATATGATTTAGTGTCTACTCTAGGTGAATTTGGCATAAAATAAATTGATTTAAAGTCCAATTTAAATCAGGCAAGAAAATTCCGTTAATCATTTTCCCTACAAAAGCACATTTCACTTAACCTTAATAAATATTTTCTTAAACTCAGTTTTTATTTTTGTAGAGGAACATTCTGTATGTTGAAATACAGTCCTTTAATTTTTTTCAGATTAATTTTGCAGTTGTATCTGAAGCCAAATGATTTGTTTTACTCATATAAGCCAATTTAAATGAATACTGCTTAAGTTATCTCATCAACTGATTATTGATGGATATTTGAGGCCTGTTTGGTCTACAATACCCGTATTTTACTCAGCACTTTGTTATTATATAAACAAAGCATTTTGGAAGGAATCTAGCCAGTATCTGTAATAGAATCTGGATCAATATGAGAAATTTTCCATATTGGATACGCAGCTGATTCTTCCTATAGGATTTCCAACTAGTAGGTCAAGAATATACTGTAGAGCTCCTGATTGCAAACTGTCCCTCTGTCACTTCCCTGCTTTTTTCCAGAATTCCTGAAAGAGAGCATGAACTCCAGCAACAGAATGTGTATCCCTCCTTATGGAGGGACCGTAGTATCTGCACTAAGTTAAGTCATACCTGGTTTTTTTGTTTTTTTTTTCGAGGATACTTTTCTTTTTTTATCCAAGTATAATATATAGAGAGATCTGAACTCTATAACGAATTTGTGGCTCATTCACAAAATGGTTTGTAAATATATACAATCCCTTTTCTCAGGTGGGGATGGTGGGCAGACTTTTTTTTTTCCTATGAAGTGCTAGTTGGTAAACATTTTTAGATTTTTTTTGTGTTCAGGAGGAAAAATTGAGAATATAATATAGATACATACATAAGAGAAAAGAAATGGCTATAAATTTTTGTCAGAAATTCAATGTAAAATAATAGTAATTGAATACAATTTTTGAAAGTCTAATAAGCATGGAATTTGATAATTGGTGGGGGGGATCGTAGTTTGCTTAACGTTCAAAGGTAAACATTCCCTGTTATCAAATTGATTGCAAATTTTCATCCGTGAAAACCAACCAGAGCCACAGGCTGTATAAAAATCGTTGGCAGGTCAGATGTGGCTCATGCCCTGTAGTTTGTTTACCCCTTGGCAGTGTTCTGTATTACCTTGGAGCTTGAACAGAAATCACTGCTGTTTTTCTGTAGTTCTTTTGAACTTAAGCATTCAAAGAGAATGCTCAGTTTTAAGGGTTTATGTGTGATTTTTATTAAGTATTCTGTTTGTTTTGGTGGAGAAACAAGTCTTGCCATTCATTGTCATGCTAGCTAAAGTCTGATCTTTTGAGAATTCATTGAATTTTTAAATGAGTAAACAATTAGTAGAAAAAAATTATCTATAATTTGTAATCCAATGACACAGAATATAGTATAGTATGTATATTACAGGGAAATTAGTAAGTATATTTTATATTAAAATTTTACATTCAACCTATCCCACTGAAAAATTTTTTTATGTAGCAAAAAGAAGTTAAGCTGAAGGACAAAGCCCTTCTTAAAATGGCTAATATTTTAGCAGTTATGAGAATGATGGTGACTCCTAGTCCATTAACAGAGGTTTTAAAATGAACTGAACATTATTTATGCAGTCACATAGTTAACATGTGAACCCACAGCCTACTCACAACTGATTTTTTTATTGTTGGTGCTTTTTATTTTTCTAGGATTTCTGTCTGTGTAAGATATATTCATTTCCCAGTAATGACACTTTGTATATGCCATATGGCAGCCTTATTCCTAATGTGACTGTACGCAGCATGCGATAAGCCATCCTCTGGTATGAGATCTCTCTTGACGGTGGCATTCACTAAAGCGTCTGTCTGCTGATGTGATGTTTTAGGACCTGAATATTTGGTGTTTCTTGGTTTGTTTTGATTTCGTATTTCCACACAAGTTTGGTCTGTTTCCCTTTATTTTTGTGTCCTTGCTTTCTGTGTTCTCCCCGCCTCTCTGCTTCACCTTTCTTAGCAAAGATGAGGATTTCTACCTTCAACATACATTGTTGGTCTTGTCTTTGTTTTTGTTAGGAGGGACAGCAGTGTGATAAAAGAGGAAATCAAAGCCTTTCTTGCCAATCGGAGGATTTCCCAAGCAGTTGTTGCACAGGTAACAGGTAAGAGCCAAAGAGCCCTTTATTCTGGAATCACGTCTAGTCTCTGCCTTCTGGTGCAGATGTTGAATATCGCTTGCATTTCTGCACTGCAGTGCAGATCTGTCAACTCAGGCATAATAATGTATGCCTGTGATTTAAAACCCATTGTCTCCCATATCGTGGAACTTCGCCAATGATTTTTTTTAACTTGTGCTAGTAAATTTTATAGCATTGGTAATAAGCACAAAATTCCCTATTTTATGGCCAAAAAAAAGGGTTTCTGTGGTTTTTTAAAAATTGTGACAGAACTTAAGACACATGTATGTCCAACTGCTATCTACAGTTCATATTTTTAAAAGCTTTGCAGTCCTCCAAATGTAATCCCTGCTTTTATTAAAAAATGATTCATGGGAGTAAAGGAAGTTGTGTTTTTTAAACCACTTTTCTGTATGTGAAAACTTTGCTCAAACCATTACTGAGAAGATAAGAGTCACCGTTGTCTTCTCTTTGTTCTTTATATCACATCCCATGACCTACCGCGGCCCCATCGTGAGCGTGTGGTTATGTGTGTCATTCTCAAATCAGATTGCATTTTCTATGAAGTTCTTAAATTTGGGGGTAACATGTCTCTGTTAGCATGCAGTCTTCCCTTTTGGCTATCAGTGATTTATAAGACCTTAATAAAATTGACTATGCCTTAGTCATAAGAGGAACCTACATTTTGTAGGTGATGAATTGTTGTTCATTGTATGTTGATAGATAAGAAAGTTAATTTGCCCCCCCCCTTCTTTTTTAACACACCGCTAACAGCTATGTGGCTTTGGTTTTTTTTAACCTCTGAGCCTCAGTTTCTTATGTCTGCAGTGAAATAGATTTGATTTTCATAGTATCCTTCCAATTTTATGTTAGCATTTCTGCCCTCTGGATATTGATAATATATTTAGCCTAATTTACCTAAAAGGCTGTTGCTATTGACCATTAACTTGGTTAAAAATGAAACTTGAGCTTTCAGAAGTGTTAAATTTCATTCTAAGAATCTTAAGGTCAGCCAATCTTAGTGTGCTTGCATGTGTGTGTGTACATGAATGCTATGTGTGTATAATATATTACATGTAATTTTGTTTTTATGGTACCACTTTACAACATAGAAGTTTCAGGTGTGCTTTGTTGAGAATCAAAATAATTTTTTTTCATAAATGGCAGTAAATCATTGGTTATACCTAGGATACCTTATTCCCTCAATCTTATCAACTCCTGTCTGTCAAGATTGTGTCAGTTATTACTCTCATCCTCACTTTTGCCCATGGAGATCTCTCCTTTTTTTCTGAGATTACTTACATGATTGCACTAGACCTTATTTTGTTATGCACCTTAGAGTAATGTTCTTTAAAAGCCACCATCTTTCTTACACATCCTCAAAGAGTCCATCATTGTACGTACTCTGAAGAGTCTTGTTAATCTAGATGCCTTATAGTGCTAACTTGTAGGGTGAAGGGAATATTAGTGACATTAATACAGGCAATACCTGTGAAAACTCATCTGGTATGACTTTTTCCAGTGATGTTCCTTCTCCAGAAATAATTATCTATTTGCTCAACAAATGTAGCATGAGTTTCTGCCCTTAAGGAACTTGCATTTTTCTTTTTATTTACTTTAATTCAATTGTTTACATGAGGCAAGGGAATGAGGATGATTTATAACCAGATAGGTTCATTGTCCTGTTGGTTAACTTACTGAATTCATGTATTTCTCATGTATTATTATGGTACAATTTCACCCAGTCCATTCAGTCATTAAGCTAAACTCAGGGACAGAGCTTTTCATTCCAGGAAAAGATCCACCTACAGAATAATGAGTTAGTGGGAACCACATAAAGCCTGGCCCTCATAGCTGGTGCACCTGGATAGAGCGGCCTGAGTAAAGAAACCTCTAGGCACCCAAGCTCGCTCACTCAGATTTCCGGATCAGTACCTAGACACACCTTCTCTCTGGGAGCAAGTTACTCCAGTGCAGCTTAGAAGAACATGTGCGTGATGGAGTCTACCCCAAAATACAGTTAAAGATGTGGTGTTCCAGAATCTCATCCTATAATGGAGTCTTTTAAAGTCACTTAAGTTCAACTCTAATGTGTGAAATAATGAAATCAATCAACCTTGAGATAAAAATGTGAACAGCGGCGCATAACAAAAGAAAATGCTAAATTAAAAAACGTAGTGAGGTGCAAAATTATAACACATGTGCTTGTTCCAGAAACAAATACAGAGGATTCTTTTTATAGATTCAGAGGATTTCTATAATAGGATAAACAAGAAGTTCATGGGTGGGGTCTGTATAAATAATATCCTACTGATAGGAAAAATGACAGTATAAACAGGATATAATGGCAGCGCCTGCTGAATTTCCCAGCATGTTATTTGTAGCTTCTTTCTCAGAGTCACAGCTGCTCCCACCAAGGGTCGGTTTTTACCTCTGTAATAGGTCGAGCAAGATTCTAAATTGTCGCTAACAGCAGTAGAGTGGGGAGAATAGGCTTTACTTGGGTAATAAACACTAGTGTCTGTATTCACCTTCAGGGAAGACATTTTCTTAGGCTATTTAAGAATTCTTAAAACATGATTTTCTTTATAAATGAACTCTGGGATAAATCAAGAGGGCAGAATAAATGAGTAAATGGGCAAAGCATGAATGAGTGCTTATTACCCAAAGAAATATACTCATTGGATTTATGTCCTCTTAAAAAAAAGAGAGAAAATTTCCATGTCTAAATTTTCAGAAATTTATCACAATTTTGTGTTCTTGAATGATAGTAGTGGGAAGGAAAAGCCATCATTAAACTTTAGAATACCAAGGTTCTAGTCTGTCATTAAATAGCCTGTGACCCAGGGCAAGTCACATAGTTTCTCTGAACCTCAGTTTCCCTGTTTATAAGATGAGGAGCTTTATACGATAAGCCTTTGTATTGGATACCCATATTTTCTCACTTTGGAGATGACTAAATTAAACACTGAGTGGAAGTTATTTTCTGAGTATCTTTTCTGGTTGTCAGGTTTTTTGTTTCTGTTTTTATTTTTTATTTTTTTTAAAAGATTTATTTATTTGTTTATACAAGCACTGGGTACAGTCAGAAGCCTGGGAGGGTGAGAGAATTCACCAGAACCAGAGGGGAGAGCAGAGCAGGCAGACTGAAGCAGTACACTGTTGAGGGGAGCAGCGGGCGGCAGGAGAGGTCTGTGCGCCATGTGGGACCCTTGCCAATGGCTGGGGATCGAATCGGCGCTGTAGAGGCTGTGGGCAGCTTCGCAACCCAGCGTTCAACCGCTGCGCCACCAGGGAGGCCCTCTGCTTTTAAACTATTTAGTGTATTTAACAGGTGTGCATGTTACCTGTATCCAGTGATTCTCATCCCCCAAATATAAGAGAAACTTTGAAATAGTTTTAGAAATGTTCTGTCTGTACTCCTTTCACTTCTCTTTTTTAAATGTCTTTTAAGTAAAGGATAAAAACACTACATACTCAGTTTCTTTGTAATCATTTTTTTTACTAAAATGGGTATATATTGGTCCTTCCCCTATCATAGAACTTCAGGTCAGATTTTAAAAGCCAAGTAAATTGTCAGTATACCTTAAAAAAAAAAAAACAATTTTTAGAGCCAATTTAGGTTCCCCTTAACCCTTGGCAACTTCTGGCACTGATATTTTTACTGCCTCCCTAGTTTTACATCTCCCGGAATGTTATTATACAGTATGTGACCGTTTCATGTCAGCTCCTTTCACTTAGTATTATATGTTGAAGGTTCCTTTATGTCTTTTCATGGCTGGACAGCTCGTTTCGTTTTAGAGCTGAATAATATTCCATGATCTGGATGTACTAGTTTATCCATTTACCTACTGAAGAACATCTTGATTGCTTCTAATTATAATTATGGTAATTATAAATAAGATATAAATAACTAGAATTTATATATACATTAGAAAAGAATTGTTGGCAGGGCACAAATCACAGGTTATAGAATTGTTTATTATACTCCAACCAGATATAATGGTCACACTCATTTAACAAGATTTTGTCAATGCCTACCTACCTAATGAATTTTATTGGTTTTTATCTAGATCTCCGATTTGAAACCTTTTCTCTCTCTACATGTGAGCTCTCTGCCTTCAAATTTAAAAGGTTTAGAGTTTTTGTTTTGTTAGAAAATTTCTTTTTCAATCTTCAAGTGAACATCAGTTGCCAACATTATAAATGCTTTTGCAGAGTGCTTTTTAAAAATTTCCTTTTGTTCTGCTGCTTCTGAAGAATAAGAACAGACATACATAGAGTAAGAATTCTTACTTTAGATCTCATTTTCTTATATCTTATTCTTACAAGATAGTTCTTTATAAGAAACTATTGATATATTTTTATGAACACAGGACCTGAGCTTACTTTTCTCTTCCATAAAAAAAAAAAACTCAGCCTCTATATCCAGAAACCTGTATCTTCTTCAGTCTGGAGATACCGAAGGTAAAAATTGAAGTGAAAATTTCATAGGTTACTTTTTGTTGTATTTTCTGCCGTTTTTCAAATTCATTGCCCTATCACGGCTTTTCTCATCTTGACTGCAGCATAAAGGGTTATACGTTTTTGGTAAAAGTTAGGAAGATTGATTTTCAAGTATCAAACAAAATTTTTCTTCCTGTATTTTTAAAAATTCCATTCTAAGATAAACTTTGGCCAAAAAAAAATTACTTTAAACGGTTAGGCAGTGATGTGGGCTTTTTTCCTTCACTGATTTCCATTCTTGTTTCTCCACATTTCTTATTTCCTAAGATTGTGGGGCTAAGTCTGTATTTGATCTGCAATATTCCTCCAACACTTTTATGAAACACTTCTTACCTAATGTAACTTAATTTTCCTTATATTAAAAAAACCTGACGGGAATAAATGACAAAAAGAAGTAACAACCTTGTAAGGAAGTCAGAAGGTATCTGTGTCTGATAAAGTTGCAAAATGTAGGTTTCAACTGTAGTTCTTGTGAGTCA